GTCCTCCTCCGTCCTCCTTCGTCCTCCTCCGTCCTCCTCCGTCCTCCTCCGTCCTCCTCCGTCCTCCTCCGTCCTCCTCCGTCCTCCTCCGTCCTCCTCTTCCGTCCTCCTCCGTCCTCCTCCGTGCTCCTCCATGCTCCTCCATATTCCTCCGTGCTCCTCCGTGTTCCTCCGTGCTTCTCCGTGCTCCTCCGTGCTCCTCCGTCCTCCTCTGTCCTCCTCCGTGCTTCTCCGTGCTCCTCCGTGCTCCTCCGTGCTCCTCCGTCCTCCTCTGTCCTCCTCCGTCCTCCTCCGTCCTCCTCCGTCCTCCTCCGTGCTCCTCCGTGCTCCTCCGTGCTCCTCCGTCCTCCTCCGTCCTCCTCCGTCCTCCTCCTCCTCCTCCTCCTCCTCCTCCTCCTCCTCCTCCCCGATCTCCTCCTTTTTTGCGTTAGTCTAACATAAGGATCGAGCCTGTCGCGTTTATGCTGAAGCTGGGGGCAAAAAAGCGCTTCGGGACAAAAAAAAACCTGGCGGGCGCCGCGGATAAATATAAGAGAAAGAGCGCGGGAGAAGGCATGTTTGAAGGTAGGCGCCCGCCAGGTGTGACGACACTCACCTCAGTGGAATGCGTCAAGTATATCGGTGATGAGTGCCGCCGTGTTCCAAGACAGTACAAAGCTTGCCGTGCGTAAGAAAGGGACGGCATGTACTGTGCAGCTCTAGGGTTGCTTCCCAGGGTTGTGGCGTACCCCTACCCGTAACGCAAGTCCCTTCCAACCCCCGCAAGTTGGATTCCAACTCCAGTCAACCTCCACCCACAACCACACTTCCCAAGGCGTCGCTTGGCTTGCTGCGTTAAGAATACATGGCCGGAATCAGTGTTGAGTGACGGTATGCGTGCGGCCTGGTAGGCTTGCCTGTGAGGTCGAATGCTTGCCTGTGAGTAGTAAAGGTATGTGCTGCTAGAGACAACAGAGTGGCAGCTGGGTTGCAGTCCAGAGTGGCAGCTTGGGTTTATCCCGAACCACCTCGGTACCAGAACCCACGTGTTTCTTGATGTGCTCGGGTTTAGCACTAGCGGAGTAAAGATCGATGCACCACCTGTGCTGTCAGTATCCTTGCATGGCAAACTGACCACGCAGAAGCTGTGACTGAGAACCTGAAGTAGCTGTCTGAGAACTCCTCTCCCCCCCGCCCACGAAGGTAACCCCTCCCGACCCTCACCAGCGTATCGGGGCCACGCGAAAGGCGGGTACAGTTAATGCTGCGAAGAAATAAAGCGTACTGCTGAGGAATTGCTCGTACACTGGGGTTGGGAGCATGCAGCCACTCATTGATTTCCTGTGGGGTCTGACAAAGTCGCGCATTGTCGCCGAAGTGTCGCTGCCTAGCTGCGTCCGAGGCTGCATGTGCAATGTGGCGTAGTTTCGCCAAAGTACAGGATCGATACGAATGGATGGTGCGCCTTGGGCGTCCGTCAAAGTCAGCCTTGGGTGTCCAGCTGTCGGCAGATACAGCAATACACTAAACGTTGAAGACATGCTGTACAGTCCGAGGGTTGCGACCCAGGGTGTTGCAGGATAGTCCCGAACCAACAAATAGGAGAGTGCCAGCAAGCGTGTCGAACCGCGAGGGGAAAGGAAGGGTGAACAGCAGATCGGTGGTGCTGGTTTGACTAGGTACTAAGCCAGTGTGGCCACAAGGAGGCAAGTGCAGGATTGAGTAAGAACGTTAGCGCCAGCTCGCTGTGCAATAAAGGTCGGCCTGAGGTGTCTAGCCGATGCGCTTGCGGTAGTATATCAGGCCTGTGGCGCACATGCGCAATCCCTGGGCTGTGACCCAGGGCTTTGAAGGGTAAACCCGAACCTGTGTGAGAGGGAGAGAGAGAGAGAGGGAGAGCCACCAAACGTGCCGAATGAAACGCGAAAGCGGGCAGGAGGGTGTGCAGCATGACAGCGATGTGAGAAGGCAGAAAAACCTGTGAGAAGACAAAGAGGGCAATCCTAGGGCTGCGGCCCAGGGTGTTGTGGGACAACCCCATGCCTGCAAGAGCTGGACGGCCACCACCGTGTCGAATAGCAGCGAGGGGGAAGGAGGATATGTGTATTGCAGGTCAATGGCCTGTCTAGACGGTCTGACCGCTGACGTGCCTGGATCCATCATGACAGGTGGGGCCAATCTGCGGTAATTGGACGGGATGAAGTACTGGTTGTGAACTTTGTGGTAGAATGCAATATGTCCCAGACTGGGTGAGGTCGGTCGACAAAGCAATTAAGCAGACTGACCCGTGTTGGTCATCGTCGGCTCAGGCTTGGGAGTAGCTGTGTGTAGCGTCACCATGTACTTGGGCGGCGGCTCCCTGAATGGCGCTCCAGGCATGTGTTCGTGTAGGCTGTTGAGGTAGATCTCGTAGAAGGTCTGGTACGTGCGAAGTCTAGTGATGTAGTCCTCCTCCTCCTCCTCCTCCTCCTCCTCCTCCTCCTCCTCCTCCCCCTCCTCCTCTTCCTTCCTCCCCCTCCTCCTCCTTCTCCTCTTCTTACTCCTCCTCTTCCTCCTCCGCCTCATCCTCCTCCCCCACATCCTCCTCCCTCCTCCTCCTCCGTCCTCCCTCCTCCTCCTCCTCCTCCTCCTCCCCTCCCTCCTCCTCCTCCTCCTTTCCCCTCACTCCTCCTCCCTCTCCTCCTCCTCCTCCTCCTCCTCCTCCTCGTTCTACTCCTCATCCTCCCTCCTCCCTGCTCCCTCCTTCCTCCTCCCTCTTCCCTCCTCCCTCCCTGCACGAAGGGCAGCGTCTCGGCCACTGAGGACAGCAGCGGGGCCACAATGTGCAGCGGGGGAGGGGCACACGGGGCTACGCTGGGGCCACGAAGGGCAGCAATGGGGCCACTGAGGGTACGAGCGACTGGGGGCTACGAAGGGCGAAAATATGGACCACAAAGGGCAACGAGGAGGCCACATTGGGCAGCGGGGGGGGGCGCTCACGGGGCTACACTGGGGCCACGAAGGGCAGCAGTGGGGCCACTGAGGGCAGGAGCAACTGGGGGCCACGTA